CGGACGCTTAACCGACTGCGCCACCCAGGCGCCCCATTAACTAAGTTTTTTAAAGTCCCTCTGAAAACTATTGTTTAATACTAGGGTCCTAAACAGAACAAGAGATTTGTAAGTTGAACTTAAAAGCTTAAGGGAAAACTAGGTTTTTAAAAATTTCTACTTCTATAAATTGAATCTAACTGGAAAAACAAACAAGTAAACCATGAAAACTTCTTGGCTAGCTGACTTCAGTGACCCTTTTAACAGTTCAGAAAAACAACAAGGGAAAAAAACTGAGTGATTTATGGAGTGCTTACTAGGTGTCACGCCATGTACATGTCCGAGGGGCTCTACCTAAGTCAGCTCATTCAGTGCTCACCACAACCCTGGGAGATGGGTTTTGTGAATCCCCACTCTACAGATGAGGCTCAGAGAGCCTATGTAACTTGCCCAAGATTCTGCAGTTAGTGAAGGATGGGATCGGTGCTTTCACACTTTTGGGTGCCTTTTCCTGGAAGGAAGGCTGGTGAGGGTAAATTTGCACAAGTCGCCTGGAGCCCTTGATGTTAGCAGCGGGGCAACGTCTTCTGTGTCTGCTCTGACCTTGCCTGTGAGCCTTCCAGGGGGTGAGACGCGGTGTGCACTCAAGTGACCTTCCTGTGAAGATTAGTGCGGCCAGAGAAAAAGATAGCCTGTTGATCCTTAAAGTTCAGGAGTGTGGGTTGGAGCCAAGGGGGCCTGTCCCCTGGACATAACTTGAGAGTAGCTGTGGAGAGGAGTTCTAGAAGCTGTGGAAAGAAAAAGAGGAAGGATTTCAGCACTGTGGCTCCAGGTGGCTTGCCTAACACCGCAGGGTTCTTTTCAGTTTATTTTTCTTCTACTAATTCACAACGCTTTAGCTGTCCCCAATACCTGATGTGATAGGGGCGGTCGTATCTTTGAATCGTCTCATTCTGGAGTATTAGGATGAACCAGCTCTGAAGTTATTTAGCCCAGTCTCATTTTTTAGGAGACGAGACCAAGAAATCAACTCCTGGTGCTTCCTATGAAGAATCTATAGAATTCTACTTCCCATCTAGCACTACTGAATGAGTTTCCAGGAAAAAAAAAAACCTATATGGCAAAATGATGAGTCTTATAAGACCCCTGTCTTTTTTTTTTTTTTTTTTTTTTTTAAACAAAGAGAGGCCTGTAAAATACAAGTAGGAGAACAATAGGTTCAGGCTGTTGTGGGTTGCAGGCTGCTGTGATCCAGAGGGCTGGGAGGGAGCTGCTTCCTCTTTAACTGAGCTGACCCAACATGAGGTCTTGGCAGAGAGAGTGGTGCTACCACCCAGAGACTCAGAACCTGAGGCCCGGGGGGCAGCTCCTGCTGTGCCACCATTAGGGGCAATTTTTTTGCCCCAGGTCTGTCTAGCAAAACTGACAGCTCCAAAGGACCTTACAGCCACTGCAGAGAAAAATATAGTGTGATGAAAAGAGGGTGAAGAGAGTGTGATGGTGATCTGTCTCCCCATGAGCCAATAAAGGAAAAGAGATGAAGGTCTGGCAAGTGATTGGTGAGTCAGGGGCTGAGGAGCCCATCGTGTGAGTCTCCACCTTTTTGCTGGGCCTTTGTCCTCAGGGGCCTCTGCCAGTTGCCACCTTCCCTGGAAAGCCAGACTGGGGGAAATAAGAGGTGAAATCATGTACCTCTGACAGAGAGGGAGGGGGGTTGCTAAACAATTCTGTATACAATGGGATACTGAAATACTTTACACATTTAACTAGGGCTTTACAAATGACAAACTACCTTTCTATACATTATCTCAGTTACTCCTCACATCAACCTGGTGAGGTAGACAGGCTACCTATCTACCTATTAGTACGTATTTATTATCCATTAGACTATTAGTCCTGTTCTGGAGATGAGAAACCACTCTTCATGGTTAAGTGACAGGACCAGAGTCAGATCTTAGAATCACAGAATCATAGTATCAGAGTTAGAAGACACCTTAATAGCAATAGCCTAAGGCATCCTTCTCTCAGAGCCTGCATCACCTTATAAAATCTCTGAGATTTCTTCTGGCTCCTACCTGAACTCTTCCAATGATGAGTAACTCACTAACTCTATGAGGCAACCCATTATTAATACTGAGTAAAACCCTTCCTCCTTATCATATTCAGTCCTTAACTCATTTCTGTCCTCAAGAATACTAAATTAAGGCAAATTCTTTTTTTAAGCTTATTTATTTATTCTGAGAGACAAAGAACATGAGTGGGGGACGGGCAAAGAGAGAGAGGGAGAGAGAGAATCCCGAGCAGGCTCTACACTGTCAGCATGGAGCCTGATGCGGGACTTGAAATCATTAACCGTGAGATCATGACCTGAGCCAAAACCAAAAATCAGATGCTTAACTGACTGAGCCACCAAGGTGCCCCCCCAAATTAAGGCAAATTCTAATTCCCCTTCTTTTCAAAATCTGAGGATAGCACTCTTGCTCATCTCTCCAGATTAAACACCTTCAATTCTTTCAACTGTTACTCATGATGATCCATGACGTAGTTATCTGGCACAGTGCCTAAAATATACAGTAGATACTCAAATAGTTGTTGAATTGGCTCCCTGGCCCTGGGTACTATTATCCTGGTCCTGTGCTCCTTCCCCGACCACAGTTAGTCTCCATGTTGTCATCTGTTTCTCATTTGCTCGTTTATTTAAACAATAGGGAGGAGCGCCAGGGTGGCTCAGTCGGTTAAGCCTCTGACTCTTGATTTCAGCTCAGCCATGATCTCACGGTTCATGAGACAGAATCCTGTATGGGGCTCTGCACTGACAGTGCAGAGCCTGCTTGGGATTCTCTCTTTCTCTCTCTCTCTCTGCTCCTCCCCTGCTCTCTCTCTCTCTGAAAATAAATAAACATTGATAAACATTTATAAATAAACATTTATAAATAAATACATAATAGGGAGAAAGGCAACAACATATGGTTTCTACTTTCAAACCACAGGGTTGCAGAAGAACTTGAAAACATAATCAAAATTGGCCACATTTCAAACAGCTTTCGATTAGTGATTAATTTGTGCTAATAGCTCTCTGACTTAACTGCTCACTCCAGAGTTGCATTCATGGAGCAGCTCCTATAAGTAAGACACCAAATGGGACATTGTAGAGAGTGTCCTCCACAGAATTCAAACTCCTAGTGAAGGCTGGGTTAATGCGAGGTCTGACTCTAACACCCCCCATGAATGCATTATGCAGCAGGGCTGTTTTGCCCATTCAAAGAAGTAGCATTCAATTCCGGGCAACCCCAGACTAAAAGATGTACTGTTTTTCAAAAAGACCTCTAGTGGAAGCGCTGGCTATTCTTAGCTGGTCGTGGTGGGAAGGACAAGCACGGGGGTCAGTGTGATGACGCTGTATCTTTCTCAATGATGTAGAACTCAGCCAGCTTCATGCTTCTTATGTAAGTGCTGTGCCAGGATGAACAGCACTGAGCTTACAATTCTGGTAACGGAAGAGCCGGGGAATAGATGGTGAGTTGTTCCCCTCATTATAAAGGAAGCAATAGTAAATTGCTACCTATCACAAGGGACTATTGTTTAAAGTAATAACCCTAGAAGGGATTTGATGACAATAAGTCAAACCAAGCCCCCGAAACACAATTCCAGAGAAGGATCTACGGTTTAAACTATCCCATTATCACAGACTGAACTGAAAGCCATCTGAAATTTATACAACTTGATCAGGTTTTCAAGTTGTTCTGAAAACTGTGGTTTGGAAGTAAATAATACGTTTTTTCCTTTCTATTACTTGAACAAAGAAACATTGAAAAATGTACTCTCTTTATATTGCCAATACTAATACTTTAGAAAGGGAGTTATAATAGCAGCTTTCTCATCTTGAGGTTCTGAAAAGGCTGCTTCCCAAAGGATGATTTGAAAAGGACTATTTCATATGATAGTCTCAAGGGCAGAGGAGCTTCGAGATTGAGTGGTGACCTTTCACACAGAACATCTGCACTATCATCACATAGTAGGTGATAGAGTCTTCACAGGTACAGAATTGGGGGGGGTGCTTTTTAAAAAATTGTCTTAATGTTTATTTATTTTTGACAGAGACTGACAGAGCAAAAGTAGGGGAGGGGCAGAGAGAGGAGGAGACACAGAATCCTAGGCAGGCTCTAGGCTCTGAGCTGTCAGCACAGAGCCCAACACAGGGGCTCGAACTCATGAACCGTGAAATCATGACCTGAGCTGAAGTTGGACGTTTAACTGACTGAGCCACCCAAGTGCCTTGTGGCGGGACTTCTAATCAAGCAGAACCCACCATTCAGCAAGGAGGAGGACAGTCCCAAGTCATAAGAGTAAGTGTAGTGAAATATGCTGAAAGACACCGTGATGTCCTGGGGCTTGTGTCCATTTCACTGCTGACTGTTTCTCTTTTTTGCTTCTGAACAACTCATCCTTTGCCTTCTTAACATAAACCCAAGAAGGCCTTTGGGGTCCATCTTATCCAACACACTCAAATGAAGAAAGTGAGGCTCGGTGAGATTGTGTGGTTTGCAAAACGTAGCAGACCCAGACGTAGAAGCCAGGACACTTCAGGCTCCCAGTTCTGGCTATCTCTCGTTTATCACATTGCCTCCTCATGTCTGGGAAAGCTCATACATGAAATGTGTAGCTACATAAAGCTGGGAATTTTCATCCCTTCACCTGAATGGTTTTATCTACAGGCAGAGGGAGAGGTACTGATCTTGGAAGAGTATGGATTAAAGACCAAGATGGGGGTGCAGGGCAGGTTAAGAGGAAGAATAGATAGAGCAAGACAGGGAAGTGGGGAAGAAAGGAAAAGAGGGTAATAGAGGAGAAATATGTCAACAATTAAATGGGGGAAATGTAAAGGAGAGAAGAAATTAACTAAGAAGAGAAGGCCTGTTTTTTCTTCTTATGAGCAGCAAACTGAAGGCAACCAAGGACTGAACAGGAGTCAGAAAGAGGGAAGAAAGAAGAGCAAATAGAACTACAAAAAAAGGAGAACACCGGGAAGAAAACGAGAACCCCAAGAGCTGCTATGAGTTAGGAGTGTGTACAGGTAGGTGGGTGGGCATGCTGGACAAAGAGAGGGATCCACGGGACATAACCCATATGCATGGATGGGGGTGGACAAGCAGGAAGGTGAGTATCAGCACAAAGGGAAAGGGATGATGAGAGTGGTCACTGTAAATGGAGGAAGTCAACAAGTAATCTTGGGTCCTGGATAGATCCATGGAATTCTCCAGAATCAGCCCAACTATGGTTCTAGGGACACTGGTACTACAGGAGATGATACATTCCCTATCTCTAACACCAACACTCTAACCTCTTATCATTTGCCTCTCCTACCTCTTTCATCATTTACATAACTTGTGTTATAAAATATATAAACATTCACTCATTCACCATGTGTACCCTGGAAACCTTCCTCACTGAGCTAGTTCCTTGAAAAATTTGTCAGTGCTTCCCAAAGGATGGTGGGTCCCTCGGGCACCTGCGTCACACACACTTGGAAATGCTTTCCCAACTGGGAACCGTGGGGTTTTCCTTAGGAGAATCCAGGCCTCCACCACTGCTGGGTGGAGTCCCAGAGGAAAATGTCACAGCACTGTGAGAGCAACAAGGGGGAATACGCAAGCGATTTCCCGGAACTACTCAGTGCAGCCTTTCTTGTCCATTCTCCTGCGGTGTGAGGGAAATCCTGCCCTTGCTGTTAGGTCCTCCCAGATTTGTGCCCATCCACCTCACCCAGGTGTGGTTTGTGGGGAAAGCCAGGCTGCTGTTACACCCATAGGATCATAGTAACAGGGCAGCACCCAGTCCTCTGCCCGAACAAGCAACGCACTCTACACCGGGCAAGAGAACAGCAAGGTGGGATGCTTTCCTCCCAGGGTCATCAGCGTATATCACAAGCCTCTTTGAAATATGTAATTTTAACAGACATAGCTGCCCAATCCAAGCTAAATAGCGACTGCTTTCCAGAGCTGCCTCTATGCTAGGAAAAACCGATAGGAATAAGAACCGATAGGAATTAGC